TGGAATATGTCATTTCTAAACAATAGACAACAATACTATGACATAATACAATGACTAGTTGTAGATCTAGTCTTGTTACTACAAACATGGTGTTCCCCCAAGGATCTATAATAGGACCAATTCTCTTTGTAGTCTACATTAACGACATCGTACAAGTGGACATAGCGGTAAATTTCACTATACAGGGTGTCCCAGACTAATTTACCCACTCTATATCTCTTAAACGAATAGAGATTTTCGAATGGGACAAAAAGTGATCTATTTTACTTGTAATACACTTTAATATGGCGTAGAAAAAATCATCCCCTAAATATTCATCCCTTAGTTAGAACCTCTAAGTTTAATTCTTTTAATAGCACCCTGTATATTTTTTTATAGTTTTGGATGTGGTCTTCTATCGTCTATTCAACAGATTTATTAAAAATAAAATCGGTTTGTAAATAATCAAGAAATCAATTTATTTTTTATTTTTGTTAATTAAGTGTCCCAAACTAGGATTTTTTAAAGGGACAAAAATTGGTCTATTTCATTTGTAATACACTTTAATATATCGAAGAAAACAACATCCTCTAAATATTCGTCTCTTAGTTACAACCCCTAACTTAAATTTTTTCATGGCACCCTGTACATTTTTTATAGTTTTGGATGTGGTCTTCTATCGTCTATTCAATCAATTTTTTTAAAATAAAATGGGTTTGTAAGGTATTAAAAAAATATCAATTTATTTTTTATTTTTGTTAAATTAATCAAGATAGCCTTAAAAAATAGAATAGAAAAGATATATTATGCCTTATTATCACTAAAAATTTTACTATTTTAACTACGTAGTATAACTTCTTACGTTCATACGAAGTACACACTCTTTTTATTTAAACATTATTTTTAATTTTTTCAAATTTTGGTCAAATTTGGTTGAGCAATATCTTTTAGAATTGGAAACAGCGACGAAACATGTCGGTCTAGTCATCAACGAAGACAAAACCAAGTACATGTTGGTTACAAAGGATCCGATAGCAAATGAGGAAAGAGAAACAGTCTTTGGAAGTCATACCTTTGGACGTGTTGACAACTTCACATACCTTGGGTCGCTATTGACTGCTACCAATAAAACAAGCGAAGAAATCAAAAGACGAATAAATCTCACAAATAGGGCATACTATGGACTCCAAAAGCATTTCCAGTTAAGAAACAAAAAAAAAACTAAAATTATTATATACAAAACATTGCTGAGGCCGGTCCTCGCATATGGAGCAGAAACATGGACTCTAACGCAGAAAGATGAAAGACTTTTGGGAATATTTGAGCGTAAAATACTCCGCAAAATATTTGGAGCTGTAAACGACCAAGGGCAGTTGCGCAGAAGATATAATTTTGAATTGTATCAGCTCTTTGATGAGTCAGATGTCATAACGTTCATTAAAACATACCGACTTAGATGGGCTGGACACATAATACGAATGCCAGAAAATACCATTGCTAAAAAGCTAACCACAGGAACATCTGTAGGAAAAAGAAGCAAAGGCCGACCGCGAATTAGGTGGTTAGATGGAGTAGAAACCGACTTACGAATATTAAAAATCAGAAGATGGCAACATGTTGCCAAAAACCGAACAGAATGGCGACGAATCTTAGAGCAGGCCAAGATCCACAGAGGATTGTCGAGCCAAAGATGATGATGATATTTTTTTATAGTTTTGGATGTGGTCTTCTATCGTCTATTTAACAGATTTATTAAAAATAAAATCGGTTTGTAAATAATCAAGAAATCAATTAAATTTTTTTTTTGTTAATTAAGTGTCCCAAACTATGATTTTTTAACGGGACAAAAACTGGTCTATTTAATTTGTAATACACTTTAATATATCGAAGAAAACATCATCCCCTAAATATTCGTCTCTTAGTTACAACCCCTAACTTAAATTTTTTCATGGCACCCTGTACATTTTTTATAGTTTTGGATGTAGTCTTCTATCGTCTATTCAATCAATTTTTTAAAAATAAAATGGGTTTGTAAGGTATTAAAAAAATATCATTTTATTTTTTATTTTTGTTAAATTAATCAAGATAGCCTTAAAAAATAGAATAGAAAAGATATATTATGCCTTATTATCACTGAAAATTTTACGTACGAAGTACACACTCATTTTATTTAAACATTATTTTTAATTTTTTCAAATTTGGTCTTTTTAGGACCATACGTTATCTTCCAGTGTGCAAAATTAAGTGTGCAAATATTAACAAAAAAATCTTTTATAATAAAGTCACAATATTTAAAAAACTTTTACGGTTATTTTACGTCTTGAATATTACCCTTAATTCAGGTTGCCATGATTTGATCTGTCAAACCAACAATTATTATTTTTGACGCTTTTTATTAGTCCAGTAATAATTATATTTGTTGTAATTGTGTATCTATAACATTTAAATATGCCTTATTTATATTCGCCTGACGAGTACGTTGTTATCATTTTGATTTATGGAGAATGTCTAAAAAATAGGAGAATTTCTTGACAATTATATTAAGAAAGGTTTCCAAATCGAAACATTCCAAGCGAAAAAACCTTTAAGAATTTGGAACGCTCACTTGACAGAAACATTTTCCTAATAATAAAGGAGGTACAATTGAATGCCCAGTAAGATGTAACCAAAATCCTATTAATGCACTAGCATATGTTAATTTTAATCCCAAGGTGTCTGTTAGAACCGTCGCCAGTGAATGCGGCATCCCAAAAAGTTCTGTGCATAAAATTCTTAAAGTACCATCCTTTTAAAGTGCACCTAGTTCAAGGATTACAGCCTGCTGATGACCAAAGACGTTGTTTATTGCAAAAATGATGTTAAACATCAATGATGATCCACTTTTTTATCAAAAATATTGTGGAGTCATGAGGCTAGATTTCACAATAATGGTGTTGTCAACCGTCGCAATTCCAATTATTGGTCTTCCGTGAACCCACATTGGATGATGGAATCAAGATTTCAGAATATTTGGGGTATAAATGTGTGGTGCGGTTTATTTAATGGCCGTGTTATTTATAGGTCCTTACTTTTTTTAACGGCACCCTAACATGTGTTCGATATTTAGACTTTTTAGAAAACATTTTACTCGATTTGCTAGAAGATATTCCTCTTCATGAGCGTCAAGAAATGTGGTGGCAACAAGACGGAGCTCCTCTACGTGATGCGAGATAAAAGATATTGTTTATCAATCAAAACCGCAAAATTTAGAGGAATTAAAAGAAAAAATAAGACAAGCATGTCGCCAAATTACTCCCGAAATGATTCGAACCACATGTACCAGAAATTTTCTGGAACGATTCGAAATGTGTGTTGCAGCAGGTGGGTTACAATTCGAACATTTAATGTAAATAATATTAGTTGGTGTTTTGATTTATTTTTTCATGTAATTTTTATTGCATTTATTTTTATTATTCCTAAGGTTTTATTGTTCCTAAGTATTTTATTTGTATGAGTAGTATATTCAATTTGCAATTTATTTAAAGTTTGCAATAAATTGTTTTTGTTTTACTTTCATTGTTTTATTTTGTAATATCGACGATTTATCTAATTTCAGTGACAATAAAGCATATTTCTTTTCTATTCTATTTTTAAGGCTATCTTGATTAATTTAATAAAAATAAAAAATAAACTGATATTTTCTTGATACCTTACAAACCCATTTTATTAAAAAAAAATCGGTTAAATAGACGATAGAAGACCACATCAAAAACTATAAAAAAATGTACAGGGTGCTATTAAAAAATTTAAGTTATGAGTTGTAACTAAGGGATAAATATTTAGGGGATGATTTTTTCTACGCTATATTAAAGTGTATTACAAATGGAATAGACCAGTTTTTGTCCCTTTAAAAATCTCTATTTTGTTAATAAATATAGCCTGGATAAATTAGTTTGGGACACTTAATTAACAAAAATAAAAAATTAATTGATTTCTTGATTATTTACAAACCGATTTCATTTTTAATAAATCTGTTGAATATAGGATAGAAGACCACATCCAAAACTATAAAAAAATATACAGGGTGCTCTTAAACAAATCAAAGCTAGAGGTTTTAACTAAGGGATGAATATTTAGGGGATGATTTTTTCTATGCCATATTAAAGTGTATTACAAGTAGAATAGATCACTTTTGTCCCATTCGAAAATCTCTATTCGTTTAAAAGATATAGCGTGGTTAAATTAGTCTGGGACACCCTGCATATGCGGATGATACGTCACTTATTCTATCTAACAAATTCAACGTAATCCTACAACATCAATTTAATGATTTTCTTTCATCTTTATGTTCTTCGTTTTGCGATAACTCGTTGCATCTTAATGCAGAAAAAACGCAAGTTATACATTTTCACAATAAACAAAAATACAAAAATTTTCAATTTTAACAACATGCAAATTGCTACGGTGTCGTCAGGCAAGTTTTTGGGAATAACGATTGACGAAAGTTTTGATTGGAAGTTGCATTGTGGAGCGGTTGTTCCGAAGTTGAATTCCATTAACTATCTAAATAGAAATTTAAAATATGTTTTGACGAAAAATCAGCTAATCAGGTAATTAATGTAGTATGCACTCGTGGAGTCCAGGCTAAGATACGGGATATGTTTTGGGGTATGTCTGGTTATGCAAATGGTATTCTCGTCATACAAAAGAAATTATTGCGTTGTGTCGCTGGTGTCTCCGGAACTAGTTGTAGAGAAGATTTTAAAAAATATAAAATTTTAACATTGGCGTGTCTATACATTTTTTAATCATGTGTTTTTATTTTTAATAATTTACATCAGTTTAAAACGAGTGGTCAAAATGCTTAACTTAAATACTAGATATTGTAATAAACTTTATATACATTTCATGTCTTGTCTATTCTAGTTTAGTGTTTAGTTTTTAGCAATGTATATTTATGACTAATCCTATACAAACCATGTTTGTCAGAAAAAAAGAATAAAGAATTTGAATTTAAATTTGAATTTGAACTATGTACTTACTTTTCCTTTCATATTGTTCATTGTCCCAAGGGAACCAGTAATATACGCATCAGTCTGATTCTGCAATTGTTTAAGAGCATCTGAGTTGCTACTCATTTGTTTATGCATTATTCCCATTTGCTTCCAAACTAGTTGGATGTCATTTTCTATCTTTGATGTTACATTAGCCATAATTCCAATGTCTGGATCCAAAATTAACGTTTTGAAAGTATCTAGTCTGAAAATACATAACAATGGGCGTAAGCAGTTATAAAAATGATTCATTTAGGATTTACTTATCTGCATTAATTAATTAAGTAGTATTAACTAGTAATACATTTTATTTACGCAGAAAATGCAATTGCGTTACTTAAAAACTGAAAAATAAGAAATATTGTCTATTCCTTGTGCGGTTTTATGTTCTCAAAGTTTTGACGCATGCTTAAGTATGAAAAAAATAATAAAAAAAGTTTTAATTACGTAGAATATACAGTAGACTCTCGATTATCAGCGCCTTGGTTATCCAAGCCCCTCGGTTAACCGAGGCAAAATTTTGTCTGGGGTTTACTTTTATAGCCGTACTTGTTGAATCACCATATCGAGTAATAAAAAAGGGTCGATGGTCACAAGTTATATCGGCAGCTGTTATATGGGCAATCCATTAAAAATTGTGGATTATTGATAAGAAGAGAATTGTGTTTAGGTCAAGCTGATGTCGAGTTGGTATTCTCAGAAATTGGTCACCGCCTTATTTCCAGAAATTTCTGTGTCCTGTTTTGTCTACAACTTCCTGTTACTTTGTATGTTAATCAGTGTGAATTGAACTACCCATTTGTTTGTTGTCGTTCAGATCGTCAAATTACTGTACGGTGAAATTTTTGCTTTTATGTACTGTTTTGTGTATTTATTCGAGTTTATAAGTTTCAGTTTCATAATTAATTTTTCATAAGTTGACTTTTGTGAGTGTAAGAGAGTATCTTTCTGTGAAATATGAGTGAAAAGCGGAAGAGAGTAGTTGTATCTTTAGAAACAAAAGTGAATGCAATTAAGAGGTTGGACAAGGATGAATCCATAAAGAAGGTTGCTTCAGATTTAGGTGTCGGAGAAGTAACTGTTGGAGATGGGAAGCGTAAGCGGAATAAAATCGAACAGTGGGTTAACCGAAGTGTGAGTGGTGGTAGTGGATTGGCCCGGAAGACTATGAAGAAAGGGGACTATGAATAAACTTCTGAGGCATTGTTCTTGTGGTTTTCACAAATGAGAGGATTGGGCAGTCCGATACTCCAAGCTCCAAGCAAAAGCTGTCGAATTCCAGAAGAAGTTTATGGATGGAGGAGAAAACTTTTGTGCTAGTGAATGATGGATTGACTTATGGAAAAAGAAATATGGCATCCGACAATTGAATATTTGTGGCGAAAAACTTTCTGCTGACTCAACTAAAATTTGAACATTTTATTTAAAATTACAAGACATTATCCTTAAAGATGGACTAACTTCAGACTAAATATTTAACTGTGATGAGACAGGCCTTAACTTTAAAATGCTTCCATCGAAAACACTAGCTGCTAAAAATGAAGGAACTGCACCAGGTTACAAAAAAAGCAAAGAGAGAGTCACAATCATAATTTGCAACAATGCTTCTGGTTCATTAAAATTAAAACCTCTTTTAATCGGAAAATCTAGAAACCCAAGAGCATTCAAAAACGTCCAAATAAATTACTTACCTACAATCTATAGCAACCAACGCAGTGCATGGATGGACTGTAACACTTTTAAGGACTGGTTTTTTAATGACTGTGCCAGTCATTGATGCTTACCTAATAAACAAAAATCTGCCTCGGAAAGCGTTGTTGTTGTTGGACAACGCACGATCCCACCCAGATGCGAGTGAATTGATTAGTGGTGACATACGAGCTGTGTTCCTTCCACCCAATGTGACGTCTCTTATCCAACCCCTAGACCAAGGCGTTATAGAAGCAATGAAGAGGAATTATCGGCGGAAGCTTCTTCAGGTACTGCTAACTAAGCTGTATGAAGGAATCACTATAATTGAGACATTGAAGAAAATCACGGTTAAAGATGTTTGCTATTGGATTGCATCTGCTTGGGACGATGTAAAAGTGTCCACTATTCAGAAGTCGTGAAAAAAATTATTTAAGATAAACAACAAAACACAAGACGTTCAAAATGAAACTGATGACTGTGAAGTTGATTATATAACCAACCTAGCCAATCAATTACCAGTAGAACAACCTATCGGAAACCAAGACATCATCGATTGGATAAATCTAGATGAAGAAATGGAACTGACAGATGATGCAATTGCCAATCTAGTTCTAAACGTCACTCATGAAGAAGATGAAGAAGATACAGATGAGATAACTCAAAAAATGTCTCATTCCCATGGATTAAAGTCCCTTGAAGCAGCTCTCGCATACATCGAGCAACAAGAAGAATCGACACCATTAGACGTGCTCAGTTTTCAACGTTGGCGCAACATCGCCGCCTCAAAAAGAGGAATGAAGCTAAAACAAAAATCAATCAAAGACTTTTTTAAACAATAACATTTATAAGGTAAATTGTTTTATCTTTTACACTACTTTTATATTGGTTTTTAATTATTAAAATAAACACATTAATCATTATTTGCGTAGGTACACATTTTTTTTTTCAGTACATATAACCAATCGAGTTTTTTCGGTAACCGAGGTAGTCCCGGTCCCAATTACCTCGGATAATCGAGAGTCTACTGTAATTATTTTGTAATATTATAATGTTTCATTAAATATTTACATATTTTATATTTTCTATTTGTTTATTAAAATGACCAAGTTTGACGAAAAAAAAATAATATCTAAAAATTAGAAAAAAAATCCGATGCATACTCTATTTTTTCTTCTTCAGTTCTGATCTGTTTTTACTATTGCATTCGAAATCTGTTAAGTTATGTTATAAATTCATTATGATAATTAAATAATTGTAAATATAATTCATTAAATCAATCTTTTTTCCAAATATAGTAATTTATTAGTTAATATGTCTAATAAATAGCCTACATATGGCTTAGTATACTATTCTACAATGGACAACATCACTTTGTAGTAACAACGCAACAAAATAACTACAACATAAATAAAGTGCGTGAAATTTTCAGAAACCAACAGATATGATAGCGATGGAAATCTTATCTCGGAGCCATCAACGATCTTAAAAATATGGAAATCATACATAGAAAAATTATTTGCATCTGACAGGACTGATGATCACCTATATGGAGAAGGAGAAACAGGACCTTCAATCCTTAAATCGGAGATAGAAGATGCTATTGCAGCACTAAAAACCAATAAGTCAGCAGGTCCGGTCAATGTACTCTGCGAAATATTAAAGATCCTATGTAAATCAGACAAACAGTTCCTTGATGATCTAGTTGTACTTTTTAACAACATATATAATAGCGGTAAAATCCCGGAGAACTAGCTACAGTCAACATTTATTACAATCCCGAAGAAACCAAATGCCCAGATTTGTGATGACTACCGGCTTATAAGCTTGATCAATCATGTCACTAAAGCGTTCACTAAGATCATTCATAGAAGAATATATGATAAATGTGAGTCAAATATTGATAGATCGCAGTTTGGTTTTCGGAAAGCACTTGGAACTAGAGAAGCAATTTTCGCTCTCCAGGTGCTTATACAGCGGTGTAGAGACGTTGATAAGGACGTGTATTTGTGCTTTGTAGATTTTAGAAAAGCATTTGACAATGTCAATCATGAACAATTGATAGGTATTCTGCGAAAGACAGGTATTGACGACAAGGACATTCGAATTGTGGCAAACTTATACTGGGGTCAAACAGCAAGAGCAAAAATTGGCAACTGATAAGCAAAAAGCAACAACCTGCTCGACAATTACGGATAAGCAACATACTAATTGATCATGTAGAATCTTATGTGTACCTTGGCACCAACGTAAATGCAAAATGGGTACAGACCATAGAAATTAAGGCGAGAATAGAACGAGCTAGAGCAGCATTTAGCAGTATGAAAAAGCTCCTCATAAGCAATGATTTGTCTCTTCCCCTAAAACTACGTCTACTTAAATGCTACATTTTTCCGATCTTGCTGTATGGCGTGGAGGCCTGGACGCTGACGGAGACGCTAACGAGGAAACTAGAAGCATTCGAAATGTGGGTGTACCGACGCATTCTTCGTATATCCTGGACCGAACATGTCACCAACATAGAGGTACTCCAAAGAATCGGAAAGGAGAAAGAGATCGTGAATACAATTAAACAAAGAAAGCTTGAATATCTATGTCACATATTGAGACACGATAACTACCGTCTGCTACAATTGATTGTCCAGGGAAAAATAGACAGTAAGCGAGGGCCAGGCAGGAGAAGACACTCGTGGCTCCAAAATTTGCGGAAGTGGTTCGGGCTCACATCATCGGTCGAACTATTCAGAAGCGCCGCAAACAAGATCAAAATTGCCATGTTAATAACCAACGTTCGCAACGGACAGGGCACTTCAAGAAGAAGAAGAAAAGTTATGAGGCTCACATGAATATCAAAAAATTATATAACTGCATTTTTTGCGGAAATTGCCTGCAATAGAGTGTAGGAAATGCTAGGTGCAAGCCTACCTATTAAGGTTCATATTGAGACCAAAATAGGTAAAGTAAGTTAAACGTCATATGCAAACAGTGCATATGGCATCGGGTATGCAAAACTAGTTAATATGGTTTTGATGCTGTTTAGGCAAGGCAATAAACCAGTAGAAAGTCCAAAACATACCAAATTTTTGCAGGTGAACACCAAGTATTCAAGCAAGATTAAAAATAAAAAAATACAAAGATGGCGTCTTGAATTGGCACCTTATAATTATGACATATATAGCGGCCACGACAGCGGATGCTTTACCGCGCACCTGGTCTTGCGCCGATGTCACGACGGTAGGTGCATCAAAACTAGGTGACTTCACACATCACTTTGTCATCCAGGGGAAACACGTATATTTCACTAAATAAAATTAGAGAATTTACGTATCTCTCAATGAAGTAAAGTTTCGCAACAAGTATAATTACTAATTATGATATTAAAGGAAATGAAAGCACCTTTTGTGACTTGGGAACAACACCTACCAGTTGCGCTACATTCCATTCGTTTCACAACTACCAGCCTGATGTAGAAGTGGAGGTAGTAGAGGCAAATCATGAGTACTCTTTTGTTACACTAAAAGAAGGGCAAAAGATCACCGTGTCCAATTGTCATCTGGTTCCAATTGGACGACGGAAACGAGAAATACTGGAGGCCAAGAATCAATGTTGCTACAGGACCCACATTCGAGCCCTACTTATACTTCTTATTTAACTACTAATAGCATATTTTTTCGAACTTAACGCATCTTTTTTTGAAATTAATGTTCAGCATCTATTGGCTATATATCGATAGAATGAACTATATCGATAGTGCAGTCTTTTGAGAGATCTGATATCTGCTAATAACAAAACCAGCTGTTACTACTTATAAAATTTTAAATATTAAACAAAAATATAAATATATAACGAGTATTTCCATTGACACTCTTATTGTATAAATAATATATTTGCTCGTTACTAACCTGTTACTCACATGTTTAGTGCTTTCCTTTGAATATTTGGATACCTCCGCTAAAATTTGGTGCATTCCAAACTCTATTTTTCGTTTGGTGTCAATAACTCTATCGGCAGTGTTTATCATGACTTGGTCTAAACTATTTAAACCTTTAATTTCGTTTCTAATTTTATCGTAGTTAGTTACAAAACTTTGTCCAAGATTAATTGTAATATCAGAGAGATCGTTAAGGTTTTCAATGATATCATCGTGAGTTTTGTTGATATTGTTTATAATGCTTTCCACAATGTGTCGAGCTTCGTCTTTGGATTGTTGTTTACAAATTGATACGTCAGCTGACAGTTTTGTTAGTTGTAAGGTGGAATTTTGATGTATATCTAGGAATTCTTGTGGTAGCCGGTTTATTTTGGTCTGTAGATATTTTAAGTCTGACAGCATTTCTTTCAAGTCTGACTGTTGGCCATTAGAAGCTGTAATGTATATATTTTATTAAGAAAAGGTACTTTAATAGGATTTCAGTAATAATTTTAAAAATTTAAAATTAAAGTACACATTACACTATAATATACATTATACTATAAAATGCAATAAATACGTTTTAAAATATTTATTCCTGCCGTTTTAACATTGCATTAATATCTTCTCTATTACGTTATACTAGGGTGGTCCAAAAAGTACTTAGCCTACAACAGAAAAACAACAATTTTGGGAAAGTGGAAATTAATTTTTCAACATAGTCTCCTTTTAGCTCCACACGAACTTCTTTAAGCCGTCTGAAAAATACGTTTTCTCGAGGTCTGCAAAGTAGGCTCTCGTGGCGATGATGACCTCCTAATTCGACTTAAATTTCTGCCCGGCGAGTGCCCTTTTTAAGTTTGAAAACATGTGGGGTCACATGGGGTCAAATCTGGAAAATGTGGTGAATGGGGCAACAGTTCCTAGTTCAATTTGACCAATTCCGCCATGGCGAAGATGGATTATGAGCCGGTGCGTTGTCATGGTGGAAGAGCACTTTTTTCTTCGCCAAATGGGATCATTTTACTGCAGCGTAGTAGGGCACTGTGACCGTTTTGCCCTTCTCCAGGTAGTCGTGATTTCCGGTCTATAGGACTGTCTTCACTTTTTCGGAGCACATTCGCTGGATGCCATCCAGTGTTTTGACTACTCCATGGTCACGGGTGTATACCAGTTAAGCCATGTTTCCTCGACGGTTATGAAACAGCGTAGAAATTCCTTCGGATTACGCTTAAATATAGTCAAACACTGCTCTGATGTGGTTTCATGGATACACTTATTATCCAGTGTACTCAAATGCGGCACCCATCACGCGGACAGCTCTTTTATAACCAAAATTTAATTCAGGATATAACATACGCGGTCTTTTGATATGCCTACCGCTTCAGATAGGCGGTCTGTCAATACGAGATCGTGGATGTTTGGCACGTTATCCTACGTGGTACCCTTTCTGGAGGTACCGAGGCGTGGCTCATCAAAAACCGACGTGCGACTAGGTTGAAACCCGTTATACCAATTGTTGACTATTGCCATTAAAGGAGAAAAATCACTGTACACGGAATCACCGACCGACATAGTTCTTTTTCAATTTTTCTAAAATCCACGGACACGCCCGCTTTCAAATGCGGTCAAAATAAAACTAGGGGTCCGATTTATCTGAAATTTTGACAGTAGCCGTCTTCAAGAATGTACTACACGATAGAAGATTTCTCTTGAGATAGTGGCGCCATCAGGTGGTGAGGCTAAGTACTTGTTAGACCGCCTAAGTATTCACTTCTTCCGCCGCTTTGTAAATTCGTCTGTAAAACTTTTTTTATTAAAGAGCTAAATCACCATTTTATCACTTCAATACCCTTCTTCCCAATATGTGTGCTATATTTTAATTAATAAGGAGATATGGTCATAGACATATTCATAAGAATAAATGAAAAGACTGATATGTTTTTGTACACCCTTATGACAAATCAAAGAATGGTAAAATGAAAGTATTTTTGAAGAATGTAAACATTAAATTCCTAGCTGAGCGCTTTTGGCTTTCAAAGCCATTTTCAGAGCTATGGTGAAGTATTTAAAGGATCACTACTAGGAGAGATTTTATTGTGTAAAAAATTACAGAAAATTTACTTTTTACTGCGGCGGTTAAATACTTAATATACTAGTTCTTGAGTCACATGCCCCCGGAGATACGTTATGGTCTGTTCTGTCTGTGCGTCACATGCCCTCTATGGCATGTGTGTACATGTAAGTACTTCACGCCCTCTGGTACACAGAGGGCGAGCATATATTACATACAGAAAACTACTATAGAAGTATTAATCTACTTTCCTCTCAAACAGGACGTGCACTACATAGTTATTTTTATGCACGAGGTGTCAAACTGGACCAGGGTATTGAGCAATTAAATTTTATAACAAGTTGCCTAATAACGTAAAAGATCTTACCAAAACTGAGTTTATAAATAAAATTAAGGAAATTTGAATAAAAAATGTATTTTATAGTAGAATATTTTAATATAGTAGAATAAATATAGTAGAGTATTTTAAATTTCAATTTTAAACTATTTTAACTCAATCTGATGTGTTTTTATGTAATTAGAATTTAAGATTTTTTAATAGAACTATTGTTCTGCTTTTATTTTGACGTGTGTTAGGCTACTAGCAAAATTAAATCAATAAATGAATTTGAATTTCAATTAGTTAAAATTTTTAATTATCGACATTATGTCAATATTTCTTAAATTGAAATAACTTTAAATATGCCAACCAAAGATTTTTATATCATAATTGTTAAAGTTTTTTGGCACGTGTTCAAGTATTATTGATGATAGTCTGATAAGATCAAAAACGTTTTGATGTTAATTAATATTATTTGTATAATTTTTATGAATTAATTTTTATTACAACAAAATTGTGCTTGTTACCATAGTTTGTAAGTACGTTCTTCATACAATTTCCAGTTGAGTCCGTAATATCTTTAAGACTTTTTGCAGTATAATTCTGATTATTGTTTATATTGTCCTTTATCTTATTTATAGCTTCCTTTATATCTTCTAGAGAGACATTAGATCTGCTGCCGACAGATATTTCTTCTAATTTCTTTAAAACTTCTTCTTTTTGTGGTAAATACTTTATCTTGTCTTGCAGATTGTTGATATTTCGTATAATTCCTTTGACGTCAGTGGTTTGGTTGCTAAGAGCTAAAATGAAGAAATATTAATAGAATCGAACTTCATTAAGTGCTTTACAAGTAATTAATAGAAATGAATGCAACTTCTGGTGACTCTAGATTCTTTTTGGGTTTCATGCAACTAATTGTATATCGTTAGGTGAATGAAACCGTAGGTTTCGTAGTCAATGTCCCAACCACATACACCACTAATTGTAATCCAATTATAAAATATAATAGATAAAATTGTTTGGTCACCTTATTAGAAAAACAAAGTGTGAACAAATCAGACAAGACATGACATAAAAACTGTCATGTCTGCCTATAAAGCATCCAAGATGTTCTATACCAAAAAGTACATTGAAAGATAAAAGAATGCAAAAGAACGTGCACGAAAATATTGGAATACAACCAATTTTAACTAGTGATGAGAAAAAACTAATCGTAAAATTGATATTGTTTTTGGCTATCGCGGGTTTTCCCGTGACACGTGATCAGCTTATTAACACCATAGCAGTGCTCGTTAAAAATCTAAAGTGAGTCAATCCATTTAAAAATGGAATTGTTGGAAATAGATGGTACTAACATTTCCTAACCCAGCATCTGGAAGTAAGACCTCGTGTATCGCAAAATCTGACAGCTAGCCGTTCCTTTGTTACAGAGGAAAGAATAAGAAGTTGGTTCAAGGAAGTATATGATTGTTTTAGTCAAAATGGCATCACAGATATGTTTAAATATCCAAGCCGAATATTTAACTGCGGCTAGACAGCCTTTTTCATGGCTCCATGGTCTGACCGTATTAGCAATAATATCCGCTAATGGAGATATCCCACCAACAATGGTTTTGTTTCCCTATACAAGGCGTATAACATTTAGTTCCAACTATGCCAATAGGTTGGGGTATCAGATACAATGACAGTGGATGGAAGAATACAGAAACGTTTTATGAGTATGTCGCAAATAAAATAAATGGTTGAACGAAAAAAACATTAAGCATTATTTTTGGATGAGCATATTAGCCAAATATCTCTGGTATTGAGTAAGTTTTGTTCTTAAAATGAAATTGTTTTGGTAGCACTGGTTCCAAACTCTATACATAGCATGCAACCGCTTGATGTTGCTATATTCCGACCTGTCAAAGCTAAATTCTGCTGAATCCTGCTTAGTCACTCATCCAAAATTTCCAACACCATTTAAAAATGCATTTTATTTCCCAGAAAAATATGTTTAACGTCCAAAAGAAAGACTACAAAAAAATTATTGCTGATGATTTCATAGAGTACCAGAAAGGAGTAGAAGCAGAAAAAAATGAAAAGCAAGCAAGAAAAAACAAAAGATACCAGCAAAAAGATCACAAAGAAAAATACAGAATCTGATGGCAAGAGAACAGATAATATTAAAATTTCGAAAGCTATCAAATTAAACCTAAACATTGAGAATGAAGAAAAACAAAGAAGAGAGATAGATGGAGCAAATAAAAAATAAAATGAAATTTTAAATATAAATGTTGGTCCTGACAGAAAAACAGGTGAAAGAAGTAGAAAGCCGAAAGCTAACAATTCTATGGATTTAAAGGTGGAAGACTACAATTAGGTAACTACGTCATTGTAGTTTACGGGAAGAAACATTTTCCAGGTAGTTTACGGGAAGAAACATTTTCCAGAAGTAGTAGAAGAAATAACAGCAGATAAATTCAAAATCAAAGGTATGGAATAAATCGGATATCATTGAAGATGGTCAGAGACAGATTATATTATTTGGTGTGATCCATATAAAATTGTTTAATTGTACCGCCGCAGTACATCAATAAAAGGTGTCTTTTTTCTATACCTGAGATAAATAATTATTAGGTTTTTCATAGCTCTTTGCTCTTATACAATAAATGAAAAAAAAAGACTGCTAAGTAACTTATCAAAGTATTTTATGTTGTTTTTTTTTATGTTCAAAATGTATTACGGATGTACGTCGTTTCAGTTTATTTAGTTTTTCTATGCCTCTTCTACATAAAAATTATGTTTTTATGCTTCTGTATTTTTTATACCTACTTTAAAAATATTATAATACATATTTACAAAAAATTGTGTGTAGAGTTTAAAACAAAAAAAAAAAAAAAGAAAATTCTTTTGATATACAGGCCGAAATTAAATCACCATTAGGCAGGAATTACCACTAATTTTTCAACATAGGCCGGAATTAAAGTTTTTTGTATTTTAGTGAAAATAATTTTTTTTGGCGAATAAAAAACACATTTTTCATTTATTTATTATATTTATTAATTATTTTGATAAAGAAAACATCATGCTATCATGCTATAATATATAGCATAAAATATACTTTAAATACATTTTCTCTATTATTTCGTCTTCTTAATATTTACGTCTAAAGTCAAATATTCCTTAACTGGCTCGTTATTAAGTTGGTTTACCTTATTTTTTTTATACCTTTTTTCTAATTTTGATTTTGAAATGTTTGTAGAAATCCAAGGAAGGTTTAAGAGATGAGAATAGTAAAGACAACAATTTTATTTTCACATACAAACAGTTATGTATACTCCTATGAATTGACGTCACTAAAAGTGTATCTTCACGTCTATTTACTTTTTTTATTTTTCACGCTGTCACGCAAATGACTGATTCACGTTAATTCGATTCCCCTTCGAGGAGAATTTTCTTGCTTTTTAATCCATTATAACGAAATATGATAATTAATAAACGAATACAAAGCCACACACAAGGAGATCAGGATAAAAATACGGGCAGCTAAAGAAAAGTGGTACAACGACAAATGTTTAGAGATAGAAGAACTCCAGAGAAATCATGATAGTTTTGAAGTGCACAAAAAAATTAAAGAATTAGCAGGTATAAGACGATCCAACAATAATAACACCCTGGTTGATACGAATGGTAAAATAATATCTGATGTAAAAGGCAAACTAAACAGATGGAGAGAATACGTCCAAGAATTGTTTGAGGATGACAGGACACAACAAGATAGCATGAACGATTGCGAGGAACATGATGTAGGTCCAAATATAACTAAGGATGAAATAATACATGCAATAAATCTTTCAAAATCTAATAAAACTGCGGGGCCTGACACAATTCCAACTGAAATAATTAAATTAATATCAGAAGATCAGATCAATGTATTAGTAGACTTATATAATACTATATATAATACGGATATTATTCCGAGAGATTGGCTCAAATCAACATTTATTACATTACCAAAAAAACCTAATGCAAGGGAATGTAATGATCACCGTATAATTAGTCTAATGAGTCACACACTAAAAATATTCTTAAAAATTATCCATTTAAAAATTTTCAAAAAAGTGGAACAAGACACCACTGAAACCCAATTTGGATTTAGGAATGCCATGGGTACATGAGAGGCATTATTTGGATTTAACGTCCTCATGCAAAGATGTATGGATGTATACCAACCACTCAATGTTTGTGTTATTGATTATAAAAAGGCGTTCGATAAGGTCCGACACAACCGTCTTATACAGTTACTTAAAGAGAAACACTAATTACTATTTAACTGGGAATAAGCCACAATTAAAGATAAAAATAAAATACGTTTATTGACGTTTCAATTTCCACTTCGGAAATCGTTCTCAAAATACAAAAACGATTTCCGAAGTGGAAATTGAAACGTCAATAAACGTATTTTTATCTTTAATTGTGGCTTATTCCCAGTTAAATAGTAATTAATTTAAAATGCCACAAGAAAATAGCGAGAAAATAGAGAGAAACACATTGAGAAAAAAGACTTAAGAATAATAACTCATCTCTACTTTAACCAAACAGCAAAAGTCAGAGTCGACAAAGAACTTTCGGAGGAAGTAGAGATAAAAAGAGGCGTAAGGCAAGGTTGCATACTCTCCCCCTTATTGTTCAATCTATATTCGGAAGAAATATTTAAAAAATCACTCGAAAATGTAACAATTGGAATAAAAGTCAACGGCAGATCCATCAACAATATCAGATATGCCGATGATACTATACTAATTGCAGAGAATATACAAGATCTACAGACACTTTTAGATAATGTAGTAAATGCTAGTGAGGAAAGCGGACTAACGCTTAATGCTAATAAAACAAAATTTATGACAATTTCCAAAACACAACAACAAGACAGTTTAAACATAAGAGGAGTTCCAATAGAAACACTAAAAAAATACAGATATCTTGGTATAATTATTAATGAAAATAACGAGTATACAGAAGAAATAAAAATGAGAATTGGACAAGCTAAAGCAACATTTAATAAGATGAGAAAAGTATTATGCAGTAGAGACCTTAGTTTACAACTCAAAATAAAAATGTTACGTTCTTGTGTTTTCGGTGCTGCTGTATGGGGTGGAGGCCTGGACCTTAAAGAAAGAGGTGAGCGTGACTTGAAGCATTCGAGATGTGGACCTACCGAAGAATATTAAAAATAAGTTGGGTAGACCGAATAAAAAATATTGAGGGTCTAAGAAAGATGACAAAGGAAATGGAAATCATAAATACGATTAAGATAAGAAAGTTACAGTATCTCGGCCACGTAATGAGAGGGGATAAATATGTGTTGCTACAAACCATAATGCAGAGAAAAATACAGAGAAAACGAAGTATTGGAAGAAGACGCATCTCCTGGCTCAACAATCTGAGAAAGTGGTATAATTGCAGTTCCGTCGACTTGTTCAGAGCTGCAATCTCAAAAGTGAAAATAGCTGTGATGATTACCAACCTCCTTAGAGGAGATGGTACCTAAAGAAGAAGAAGAATTAAATATAAATACAAGATAATAATGAAAATGTAAATGATGAATAAATTCTATAGTATATTTAACACATTTTGAAAATTACTAAAGTCATTAAACAAAATTTTTAAAGAAAAAAATTAAGATTTTTTAAATTTTAAAAAACTTGTACAAAATCTTTGATCACTAAAAAATTGAAGTTCTGGTTATACAGGAACGAAATGAAGTTCTCAATGTAAGTAAAACCATCAAACCCAAAATGACCGTTTTATTGCCACTAACCTGGTTTTTAATGACTTAACTCGTTAGAACCTTTGACTTGATGTTTACTAACTCCTCTCTCTCTCTATCTATCTATCTCTTTCTCTTTCTTTCTCTCGGATATATTAGGTGCTTTTAAAGATGAATTACGAGGTCAAGCTCCACTCTTTAAGTCTTATAATTATATTAAACATATAATTATTATAGCCTAAAGCAACAGCATGTGGCAAAAAAATAAATTTATACTACATATGCAATAATATTATTTGAGAAATGATGGTTTTTTATACGAGGCAATGAAAACCATTATTAAGAATCCATTAAGAACAAAGTACAACTCAACAGATATAACTGCAACGCTCAAGGTCACTTCATGGATAAAGGGAAGAACCGATAGTCAGTTGTATGCAAGTTCCCGAAGCGTAAATACCCGTATAATTATCATTGAACGTCTGAAGGGATTAGAAGAATCCATGAAGGTTGGACTGTATATTTGCGCTGGTTATGAACTTCTTTTTGAATAAACTTGAATAAATTAATTAAAACTTTGACAGAATGAAAAAACGTGTTTGTCAACTTGAAAGGAACAATTTATTCTGACATTTACAATGTGCCAATTTTTCACTAGTTGGCGTGTAATTTGAAGTCCAAACATGCCCCCACCTTGAAAAGGGTAACTTTCAAAACAATTTACATTATAACAAAAAAGAAATACATACATAAGGTGAAATATACATGCATAGGTGAAATATACATACATAAGGTGAAATATATACATAAGCTAAAATAGAGTTCACTTAAAAATGTACGTTCACATTATTTGTCCGTTTTAACCGGAAGAGGACATATATTTGACACTGCCCTCCGAAGAACACCATTGGAAGTCTGCACTGACACAACCCTAGTAACGCCATCATTTCCAGGGTGAAGATCTCGTACTCGACCAAGAAGCCACTTCTTAGATGGTAACTGTCTGTCTTTGATGAGAACTAAGGTATTTATCTTGATATTTGAACGATTCACCTTCCACTTCTGCCTCTGCTGAAGTTCTGAAATATATTCTAAAGACCACAATTTCCAGAAATGTTACTGAAGGAACTGGTGCCTTTCGTGTAACTGTAGACGAGTTTCCCTTTCATTGGATATGTCGACTTCAAGAATTGAGTTGATTGGTCGGCCAATTAAGAAGTGAGAAAGTGTTATCAGATTCAAGTCGGAAGGATCATTGGAAAGAGGAGAAAGTGGTTAAAAATTTAGTATTCCTGCTATTTGAACAAGAATTGAAAATCTTCATAAGTCAGTAAAGAATTCCATAAAACTCTTTTCATATGTGATTTCATTGATTTGACCACTGACTTCCAAAAACCACCGAAGTGAGGAGTATAACATGGAATAAATTTCCAAGAAATTTGGTTATGATTACATTCATCCTTAATTTTATCTTTATTTAATTTTAAAAATTCAGTTAATGCGTTGAATCCATTGAATGCACCAGTAAAATTTGATCCATTATCTGACATCAGCTGAGTGGGTTTACCCAGCTAGAAATGAAACGTTTTAATGCTAATAAAAAAGTTTGAGTTGAAAGATCTGTATAAAATGTCTCAGCTTTATACGCTACTGTGCTAAGCACTTTAGTTATTTCTTGCATTTCTTTAGTTTGAAATTTTATTACTTAAGCTGCCATCTTCGGATAATCTGATGCCTACCCATCCGTAGATATATCAGTAAGACTGTGTTCACAAAATTGTTCTAAAAATCACGAATTTAGAAAATCTGGAACAATTAGGCTTTAAGTAAAATAATGGATACATGTTAAATTTCGCACAATTTTCAGTGTTAAACTAGTTAGTTAACGTAAACTAATTTCAATTGTCAAATATTTCTACTGAGTTACCAGTATGTTACTGTTACAATGCGTTACCGTTGTATCAGCACGACATTATGAATGGCAATGAATGGAATAACCTCCAAAAGTGTGCAACCATCATAAACATATATTACAAGATCTACTGACTGCTGCAATACAATCGCGTTTCCCCAGTGCTACAAAGAAAATTGACGCAAAGCAGTCTCTGTCTAATAGGCAAGATTTATCGACCACGTGACCTTCTAATTGGTTGTTTAGGTCACGTGATCGATCAACCTGGCAAATTAGAAAGATATGCAGTGACTGCTTTGCTTCAGTTTTCTTTGTCGCACTGAAGGAATGGGCTGGTATTGCAACAGTCAGTCTATCTTGTATTTTATATTTACGTAACCACAGACAATACCCCGAGAGTTCTCTACCTATATAAAAAATAGCAATAACTTTTTAAATCTTAAAATACAATTATTCCGTGAACATTTTTTTTGAAAAAGGTAATACAGTTTACATACCATTATTCGTATTAGCAAGACTCTTCGTAAGAGTATTGGTAATTTTTGTCAAATCATTGATATTCTTTAATGTATCTTCCAACTTATTTATGGCAATTTTCTGTCCAGTAGCCAGTTCATCCATTTGCTGATACTGATTTGCAAGTTTAAGTTGCTGATTTTGAACATCTAAAGCAAAAAATATAAGTTATTTCATGAAAAACTGGTTTAACTTCAACTTAAACAATAAACTTCAAATTCAGATAACTCAAATAGATAAATCATATAAATAAGGTAAGAACTTATTGATAATAATAATAACATCAAGGCATATATTATAATGAAATCACACCTATTCAAGAAGGTAAAACTGTTGTTCGAGTAAACTTTTCGTAATAAAAATAGTTGGAATTGTAGCTGTCCTTACTTGAAAGCGCCTTTAAATATGTTGTAGCTAAACTATTGAGGTTTGTATGAAAAAAGTATTTTCTAAATATTTTTCACGAAATTTAGGATTTAGTTTTATGTAATCGACTATATAGAGGAGAATAGACTATCCTGGTACGGCCACGTCAGAAGAGCGGACAGAGGACGCTGGCTAAACAAAATCACAGAATGGAGCCCGATGGGAAGAAGAAAGAGAGGAAGACCCCGAAGGTCATTCAGAGACGAAATCGACGAGGCTATGGAGAAAAGAACCCTGCGAGATGGAGACTGGAATGACAGGGAAAATTGGAGAAAACGGTTGAGTGAAGGAAGACAGTGAAAACTGTGGAAATCCTTAGTAGTAGTAGTAGTTTTATGTGCGCAGAGCTGTTTGTAGTATAACTCCACTACTAAAAAAGAAAACTTCCACCCATATCACATTACTTCTGTTCAAAACTTAAGATTTCAAGCTTTTAAGAGAACTTTCACGGTTACAGTCTTTTCTTTAATTATCTGAACTGTATGATCAGGAAGCATCCAGCTGGTTTTTCTTGCATGAAATTATAAAATTATAAACTGTAATATTGCTTGTCTAAAATTATGTTTCTGTGCTGATTTTGATAAGAATTTATGGATATACCGTGAAATATTTAGGAAAAAAAAACAAAAAAATCACACACTATACCTTTTAACCCAATTTTACCAGTCTATGTCTAAACTATAGTCTATCTCTAAACCACAGATATATAATAAAAATATACTGAGTGCTTCAATAGAAACTCGTTCCACCAGTTCGGTACCCTCTTTATGTACTGAGTGGAGGTTATCCAGGAAAAGGCACTAGGCTCGGGTTTCAGTCTGGTAGAGGTATCTTTGCAGCTCAAATACAAAGAATGTGTTAGTGGAGTACTGAAGATAAAGAGAAGAGAAGTTAGAAGATAAAGAGAAGGGAAGTTAATTGGGCACCACCCTATTTTTAAAAGAACAGGGAAACCTACGACATATAAAATAAGATAACGAGAAAGGCAAGGTACGGTTAGGATAATCACGCGAGAATAAAATAAACTGTGAGAGAAAAGTTATTATGGATACGCGGCACACACTTAATATTTTGCCACATATATACATTATTTGTATAATAAATCAAATCGTAATATCAATCAATAACAATGTCTGAAAGATATACACCATGCACATGAAATAAATATACAATTAATAAAAAATAAAAGGCAAATAGTTAATCAACAGGGTTATATGAGGTATAGTTAAAGTAAATGCTCTATAACAATTTTATACAGTTACTGCACAATTTATTATTAAATACAACGAATTCTAAAAAATAATTATGAGTAATTTAGTATCCTCAAGGATAAGAAAAAAGACAAGGGATAAATTAAAGTTGTATCTACGTCAATATCTGATATAACCTGAAATACAACAAATGAGTGACTTTCACGTCTTGAGAATACGTGAACATGGAGTTACTGAAATGTTTGATTGTGATCACCTCAAATATGTGTATAAAATCTGTAATAAATATAAATTACATATAAAACAAATCTGATCATAAATTTATACTATTAATAGTTCGTTCGGTTTGATTCAAAATAAACAAACCATAAATAAATTAAAGGCACCGAACTTGAGTCATACATTAATTCCTATCTATTTAGGTAGGAGCGGAGAAAAGATGATCATTGAATCATAAAAATCTCGGCTACTCACAATTGAAGAATCGATATTTAGACTAGGCGGCATCTGTAGAAATTCAGACAATAATGGAAATTTTCGAGGGAAGCTATTTTTTTGCTGGAATCCCTTCAGGATATGCCCAGTATCGATAATCACGATATGCGCCAGTCGCAAACCCTGTGCTAAATTTTTTATTTAACAAAATCTGAAAAGAATTGAAAATTTCTCATTTTTTTGCTCCTATTTTCATTTATAATTCGATAAATATTGATCTTAGAGAAAAAATTATAAGTGGTTTAAAGTTTCGTTATTAAATTTTACACAATATTTTGTTAGCTAGAAATTGAAAATTTAATGGTTATTGTTGAAAAATAGTAATAATTGGAAAAAAAAGTACAAAAAAATGAAGTTAATCCTTTAAATGTTTTCGACTTTCTAAACTTGACTTACAAGTTCCATATTCCGCCTAGAAAAACTTTTTAATATGTTTAAAACGTGTGCTAAATTTTGTTAAGATCGGTCGGATAGGTTTTGCATAATAATTTTGCAATCCAGCCTACTGGAAAAAAATCGCAAATTTTCAAATTCATAGTAGGCCCTAAATAAGGCCCTCAGATAGTTGCAATTCTTTTTACATATAAAGGAAGTCCCACACTTTCAAACGCTTTTTGTAAAATTCAAATCGGTTTACTAGGAAAGCCTATAAATTTTTTTAAAATTATAAACATTTTTTAGGCTTATAAACAAATTAAATAACTTTACGAGCTTTAAATATATCGATTTCAAAATGTATACACTTAAAGAACATTAAAAGACGCTTCTTTTAAAAAACAAAAAGATACATTCGGCTTACTAGTTGCCGAGATATTGAGGGTCAAAGTTGGCATACATTTGCCGTGTAACCATAAGTGATAGAGGGCTCGTTTTTAAACAAATACCCTCGTCTTGTCAAATACTTTTTATATGAAAAGTTTTACGTAATGCGCTTTATAGCAACATCCATAAAAAAGACAAATAAAAAACCGTTTTCGCGTAATATGTCGCTCGGAATGCATGAGAGGTGGTGATGAGGGACATTCACTTCAAATGTGAATCGGCGAGTATCAAGTATATATTAGCCTCAGATAACAAGCCAGTTTTTATAATTGCAGAGGATATTGATGTTCTGGTAATATTTTTACAAAAAGTAACTGAAAATAAAAATATTTTTTTCTGGAAACCTAGCAAAGAAAAAAAATCGGAAGAAATTTAGTACTACAACTCTTTCAATAATGCACTTAAAATAAGTGAATCTACGAAATCTTCGTTAAAAAATTTAGTGGGCTTTTTACACGCATTTTCTGGTTGTGATACAACCTCTGCATTTTTTTATCAAGGAAAAAGCAAAATTTTTAAATTGGTTTCAACAAATAATTATATATGGCAAGAAGCAATCATTTTTAATAAAAAAGGTGCAGCTAAGGAAGAAATTAAACGCAGCGGATGCAAAATTATATCGGCATTGTATATGGGCCACTCAAAGTGCGATTTTACATTGAATAAAATTCGCTACTTGTGCTTTAAAAAAGGTTGCAAAAATAAAAATTTTCAATTGTCGTGTATATTTCCAAGTACAGCAGTGGCTTGGAAATAACCTGAATACTACTGAGTGGGGGTGGGAACTAACTCAAAATGATCTTGAGCCAATACAAACTGAGCAAGTATTACTACCTGACTCATTATTCAGAAATATTAGTTGCAAATGTAAAAAACTTTGTACAAAAACATGCAGTTGTATCAAACATGGTCTCAAATGTTCTGACTATTGTCTTCACTGCAATGGTCAAACATGCAAAAATATTGATCACAATAAAATATTGGAAGAAGTTGAACGAGATATGGATATGGAGTCGATGGATTCCTTAGATTTTTTGGAGGCACAAGATATAGCTACAGATGAAGGAGAAGAAACATTAAATTTACAGATCGAGGATGAAGATGTTAAAATGGAAAATGAAGGTTTTGAGGAAGAAATAAAACCTGAAGATTCTTGTCCTTCCAGAAAAAGAAAAAGACTTAAAAAAAATTATTGAAGATTGAGTCAAAATAAAGATTATTTATGAAAAGAAAATTTTTGTTTCATTCGCCTTTGTTTTAACAATTTAAATTATTTATTAACAATTTATAAATACATATTTGTTTACTAAAAGTAACAATTTACTTCAATGTATAAATTGCAAGCTCAAAAAAAAACTATTGAAGATTGAGTCAAAATAAAGATTATTTATGAAAAGAAAATTTTTGTTTCATTCGCCTTTGTTTTAACAATTTAAATTATTTATTAACAATTTATAAATACATATTTGTTTACTAAAAGTAACAATTTACTTCAATGTATAAATTGCAAGCTCAAAAAAAAAACAATTTCGAGCATTACACAGTAGTATAATAACACGTCAATATACAATATACACGTCACTTTCGAATCAAAATATATTCTCACATCAAATAATGTCATTATTATGATAAAACTGCAGAAATAAATTATTTTTAATGTTAATTATTTTAAAATGTTTGATTTTTACAAAAAAAAATTTCCTTCGTTTTAACAATTCAAATTATTTATTAACAATTTATAAATACATATTTGTTTACTAAAAGTAACAATTTACTTTACAAGCCCTTACAGATTTTGGAGTACTTTACTTTTGTTTATATTTCAAAACCCGAAATTAAACAAAGTGATGGTCCCCTACTTGATACTCGCTGATTCACATTTGAAAGTGAATGTCCCTCACCACCACCTCTCATGGATTCCGAGCGACATTTTACGCGAAAACGGTTTTTTATTTGTCCTTTTTATGGATGTTGCCATGAAGCTCATTACGTAAAACTTTTCATATAAAAAGTATTTGGCAAGACGAGGGTATTTGTTTAAAAACGAGCCCTCTATCACTTATGGTTACACGGCAAATGTATACCAACTTTGACCTTAAATATCTCGGCAACCAGTAAGCCAAATGTATCTTTTTGTTTCTTAAAAGAAGCGTCTTTTAATGTTCTTTAAGTGTATACATTTTGAAATTGATATGTTTAAAGCTCGTAAAGTTATTTAATTTGTTTATAAGCCTAAAAAATGTTTATAATTTTAAAAAAATTTATAGGCTTTCCTAGTAAACCGATTTGAATTTTACAAAAAGCGTTTGAAAGTGTGGGACTTCCTTTATATGTAAAAAAAATTGCAACTATCTGAAGGGCCTACTATGAATTTGAAAATTTGCGATTTTTTTCCAGTAGCCTGGATTGCAAAATTATTATGCAAAACCTATCCGACCGATCTTAACAAAATTTAAATTTTAACTACTTATAATTTTTTCTCTAAGATCAATATTTTTCGAATTATAAATGAAAATAGGAGCAAAAAAATGAGAAATTTTCAATTCTTTTCAGATTTTGTTAAATAAAAAATTTAGCACAGGGTTTGCGACTGGCGCATATCGTGATTATCGATACTGGGCATATCCTGAAGGGATTCCAGCAAAAAAATAGCTTCCCTCGAAAATTTCCAATCCAAAACAGATCCCGCCTAGACTAATTGTACTTACAGCCAGCGGAAGGTAGTCACCGATAATAACGGTATTTCATAGAACGGTCGTCGACAAAGGAACTTGACAGGTTGCACCAGGAACAGGTGTATTGGTACGTCTCAAGCAGCGTAGATGATTTAAGTAAGGTACCGAATTACGGATGATTTAATCAGCATATCGATCCTCACAATAGACTAGACTGGAATATAATAGACTAAACTGACAATATGGAGGAAAAGGCAAACATAATTAACTCAGTGTCATCGAATTGGAGGACGTGTGTACGACAAGAAAGAAAATTTACTGTAGGAAGCACTGTATGAAAATAGATGGATAATGGTGAATTAAAATTACACTTACCGTCGTTTGATGGAGACAACCGCATACAACAGGAACCACAATAAAAATCAATTCTATTTTCGATATTTAGACCAGCTAGGGATAAAAAAGAGCGGGAGTATTTGCCGAAGATTTCGAAGCGAACATAGTGCTTAATTGACAAGTCCGGTGTGGTCTTATTTTCTATAATTTCTACTTTCTCCTGACTAAAAATATTATTTCATAAAAGAGTCAGACCTCAGCTTTTCTTAGAAAATAAGCTGGGTTTCGAGAATTGGAATAAACTTCTTTGTTAGGAGGAAAAGTTTCTATTTAACTAACGAAAGATAATAAGAGCAAAGACAACTTACTGAGAGCTAATTCGTTGTTGCTAACAGGCGTGACAAATGACTCGTTGCTTAAGGTCTATTCTGAATGAGTCTAGCAAAGTATATGGACATAGGTGGCGTGAAGGTAATTTTCTAAGAGGAATAATTGAGGAAATTTTAAATATGATTCAGTGTGGTAGAGAAAATTGACGCGAAACAGTTCCTGCATTTGTTGAATGGACCGGATTTATCGACTACTTAACCTTCCCATTGGTCATTTAACTCACCGGTGGTAAGTTAAATGACCCAGTGATCGATAAACTCGGTCTATTAGAAAAAGATGAATGGACTTCAGTCTGTTTAGATTCGTAAATTTTCTCTGTTGTACTGGGAAAACAGGGCCGTATTGTAGCGCTCAGTCTATTTGTATTGTATATCTATGGTCCCAATAATTATAACCTTCCTATATACAAAATATTAATAACATTTTAAAGCTTAAAATACAATAATTACTAATAATTTTAACTTGGAAAATAATTTAATGTTAATTCAATATACATACCAGTATTTGTATTAGCAGAACTCTTCGCAAGAGTACTGGTAATTTTTGTCAAATCATTAATATTCTTTAATGTATCTTCTAACTTGCTTATAGCAGTTCTTTGTCCAGCAGACAGTTCATCCATTTGTGGAAGTTTACGTAGCTGATTTTGTACGCTTTTAATGTTGTTTAAAATTTCTTGTGTATCTGATTTTTGAACGTCTAAAGCTAAAATAAGGTATTCCATAAAAAACTGATTTCATCTCAATTTAAACAATAAACTACAAATATAGTAAAAAATACTAATCTGTAAAAAAAGAAATATGAATCTTAAAAAGATAAATAAAATAAATAAGAACTTATTGATGATAATAATAATATTAAGGCATAGACTTGAATGAAATCACACCTAATCACCTGGATAAAACTTTGGTTCGAGTAATTCAAAATCCTGAAGTAATTTCACTTCAACTACCAGCAGTAACAGGTGTAAGTCAGTCGTCTATTAAAATTGTGACAAAGAAAACTTTTACTCTTATCACTTTACTCCTGCTCAAAAGGCTATAGCGGGGTAAGATGGTCAAAAGTGCCCCCGCACCGATTAGCAGCGCGATTTGTGCTTTCGATAAAGCATATTAAAATATGACTTTATACAAATTTTTAGTTTCCCAGAGCCCGTAAAACGTCTAAAATCTAAAAAAGAAGTTTTTTTCGACTTTATTTTTTCTGGACGCAATTTTACTTTAAAAAAATCTGAAAAAATTCATGAAGGTGTATTTTTTGAATACAAAAAAACCTGATTTTTTTCAAACTTTTATATTGAAAATTAAGCCTAGGAAAAATCATTGAAATTTTCGATAATTTCTCAGGTTAATAATTTTTGGCTAACTTTTAAATAGTAATTTTTTGTCTATTTTTTTTTCGTTCTTTTGAGTGACTAAGGCAGAATTATCAATTTCTGAGCGAAAAGTATCAAACAATGAAAAAAACGGTTTTTTACTCATTTATTTGCACATCATCTCAAAACTCATTTTTCAACATTTTTTCTTCTTTACATTAAGTATCACATTCTATTGTAAAAGTCCCCATTTAACTCTTTTATAAAGATAAAATTCCGAAATACCACATATGAAAATAAAAATATACATTTTTATCAAAATATTGATTCAATCCTTCATTTACTATACTCCTATTATAGGTCAAATGTTGTTTATATACAGCAAACGATGCACCATACCTAATTCTGTCTCTCTTTCTGCTCTCTATTACCTATAGCATTACATATATAATGATTGTGCAGATTGACTCCCATATAAATTTGTAACGGCAACGCATGTATAGAAGTATAACTTCTCCCCCGTAGGCTATATGTTTTTGGCTGTTTCCAACGTCTTCGAATAAATTTCATAGAGGTAAGTTTTTAGCTTATTATTTTATTTTGTATTCTTGTATTAAATATAAATTTTGGAATTTACTATTTTATTTGAGAATAAGCCAAAATTTAGTTTGAAATTAATTTATTTGACGTTTCGTCTTCCACTTTGGAAATCGGTATATCGGTATTTTGATAATGATTTCCGAAGTGGACGTCAAATAAATTAATTTTAAACTAACATTGTGCCTTTAACATGTCCTAAGGAAATAGCTTTAGAACAATATATTTTGTATTTTAGTAAAATGGATTCCAAAAGGCCACTGACAGAAAAGAATTGGAAGAAGAAGCTGCGCGTATTATGAATGGTGACATTTTGACTCCGATCCCTTCGAATACAGTGGCAGCGACTGGGAAGAAGATAATCTGGAGATATAATCTTCACACTCGGATAATGAAGCTGTCGAAGATTTAATTGTATCTCCTTGTTCTAATGAATCGACAGAGCAAGATGGCATTTCGGATATTGAAAAAGTTTCTAAGTCGATATCTGGAAAACCAAAGTATGTAGTGGTCTCAACAAAAAAAGTTTTAAGTGTAAGAATGGTCATAAGTGGTCGACCAAAGTTCCCCATAAATCAAAAAAATACCTGCAAGGAATCTTATTTCTTTGGTCCGGTGCTTTGGGAAGATCTTTGGTCCGGTGCTTGATGAAACATCAGGACAATATAGGATAAGAACTAATAAAGAGCTTGAAGAACTTTACCCAGACGCCAACATCATAAAAGAAATAAAGTCCAGAAGACTCCAATGGGCAGGACACCTCAGAAGACATTCTGACGAACGAACAGTAAGACTGGTGTGGCAGGAAGTCCCAACTGGAAGGAGACCACGCGGACGCCCTCGTCTCCGGTGGCGAGATAATATAGCAGGAGACCTAAGCACTATGGGCGTGGAGAATTGGATGGAGGTTGCTCAAGACAGAAAACAGTGGAGGCATGTTGTCGAGTCGGCTAAAACCCACGAAGGGTTGTAACGCCACGGAGTAAGTAAGTAAGTAAGTAAGGAATCTTATTCACTTCGTATCAGGTCCCCGAGGTATCGCTAAAAACTGTAATATTTTTAATAAACACTTCTTACATTTCTTTCCAAACACGCTACTTGAAATTGTTTTGCAACATACAAATGCAAAAATTGTAAGACAAGCTGAGAAACATAATAATCATGAAAATGTGTCTCAAATATCAATTGAAGAATTAAGAGCCTTACTTGCAATTTTTGTTCTTTCTGCCGCAAAAAAGATAACCATTAACCATCTGAAAAATATATGTTTAACACCTCCATTTCAGGAACGGTTTACAGAGCACGTATAAGTTGTAATCACTTTACATTTCTACTAAATTGTATGAGGTTTGACGAAAAGCAAACAAGGCAAGAGAGACAAGTAAATGATCCTTTCACTCATATCTGCGAAATATGGGATATTTTCATTAAAATATGTCGCACTTCATAATATACTCAATCATCATATCTTACAATTGATGAGCAATTGCTAGGATTGAGGGGAAGATGCCCTTTCGGGATGAACAACCCAATAAACCCCAATAAACCTTCAAAGTACGGGATTAAGATTGTTATATTATGTGATTCCTCCAGTAAATATATGTTGGATGCAAGTCCCTATTTGAAAAAAAAAACTAATACCAATGGTTTGCCACTAGCAGAGCATTATGTTAAAGAACTAACAAAATCTATCCATGGATCAAATCGGAACGTAACAATGGACAACTGGTTTACGTCAGTGAAACTATACCTTATTCCATTAAGCGATGCAGTGCATATAAACAACGATAAATTTAACAGATAATTGTTAAAGGTGTTCCAAATGAGTCTACTCGTTCCGATAAGTAACAGTATAATTATGACACTTTATTATTATTTTTTCTTTTCTCAAATATTCGTATTTATTGCATAGTAAATAAATTAATGTTTTCACTGAATACATAGTAAGTGAAAAAATAATCCGATTTATAAAATTAATGAATATTTTATGCATAAATGCAAGTAACAGTTCTTCAAAAATATTTAAAAACTAACCGAAATGTCCATCTTTATTTCGTCTGGCGACGTTATCGGCGGGTCATACCGGTTCGGACACGATTTAATGTTTACATTTTCCTGCATCGCTTATTGAATTTTACTATAGTCGATGAACTGTTACAAGAGTCATATTAATTAACAGCATTAAGTACTCTTCGCAAAAACAAAAAATTAATTAAACTTTGATAGTATATAAGGCAACTATCGAACACAGTGAATAATTAAATCTTGCCCAAGTACTTTCGATCAATAGATCATCTTCAGGGGCATTTCGTCAGTTGTGGCCTATCCGACATGAGTAGAATGTCATACATGTAAATTTAGACATAACAATACAATACACAAAGACAAACAAACACTTTAAAATTTTTAAAAAGGAGAAGCTACATGTTATATAGAAGCCGGAGACAGAATTCTGTCTCCGGCTGTGAGTGTTTGGTTGTCTTTGTGTATTGTATTGTTATGTCCAAATTTACATGTATGATATTCTACTCATGTCGGATAGGCCACAACTGACGAAATGCCCCCGAAGATGATCTATTGATCGAAAGTACTTGGGCAAGATTTTATTAATCACTGTGTTCGATAGTTGCCTTGTATACTATCAAAGTTTAATTATTCGAGCATTTAACCTTATATTGAAAAAATTAATTTCCACACAGATGTTGGCACTAAAAGATCAAAATGCAAACGATTAGATGTTCTGTTTTGATCAGAAAAAAACTTTGTCATCTTACGTCCCTTAAAACCAGCAATTAGTTTTACTGCTTTCAACTTTGCACAAAACGGCAGAATTATCAGAAGAAACAGACAAGACTGTAATTATAAAAAATTACAATAACACAAAATCAGGCGTAGATACTTTTGACCATATGTGTTTCAACACGAGTTGTAACAGGAAAACCCGAAGACAGCCGTTGTGTGTATTTTATGATATTGTTTTTATAGCCACAACACAACTGGAAGCAAGTGGAGCAAAATAGAAGACACTGGATTGATTTGGGGGAAGAATATGTCCAAAGTTGGTTTACTTAAGGCTAGAGAAGAAGAAGAAGAGGAAGAAGTTTTTATAGCCAGTAATAATTTCTATGCGATTTACACATACAATACATTAAAACGAGGTAAAAAGCCCGTGTCTCGGGCTTGCCAGTAGTAGAAGTATGCAAGCATGCGATATGCGGTGAGCATTGTGGAAAAATTTGCACCGAGTGTTTAAAACATTAACCAATTCTATTTTTTATTCGTTTAAAATATGTTATTATAGTGATAAAAACTCTCCTGTTCAGATTTTGAATATACGTTTTGTAATTACAAGGCATTTTTAATGGATAGTAAAATTTACGATAGTCCGGTAATCACGTGCAGCTAAAGAAGTCCGGTAATCTAGGGTTGAACTAGGGCAAGTTGATCAAATTGTTTATGTTGGATATCAGTTAAACTGTAACGCAGAGAGTCACGGTAAAATTAGATCCAAAATTGAGCAGACCAGAGCCGCTTTTAGAAGGATGTCAAAAGTGTTTTCGGTTTTACTTTATGGTGTCGGGTATTGGACTGTAAATAAAATTAATAAAAATGGTCTAAATTGCTTTGAGGCTTTCGAAATGTGGTGCTATAGAAGAATTTAAAAAGTTTCTTAAGTGGAGAAGAATTGAACCTCAACAATATTAGAACGTCTCAGCAAGACTATTGAGATTATAAAACGCATCAAGAATAAAAGCTGGAGTACTTCGAACATGTAATAAGAGATCCAAATATAGATTGCTACAAAATAATATGCAAGGAAAATAGCAGGAAAACGAAGTACAGGACGAAGAAAGACTTCATGGTTGAAGAACTTACGATATCCGTATCGTATTGATACAAGCATGCTATTTAGGATGGCAGTGGATAAAATAAAGATATCTATGATGGTAACTAACGTTCAGAAATGACATGGTACATGAAAAAGCAGAAGTATTTTTTTAAAAAGTAAAATTGTAGAAGTTTTCATCAATTTTCTGCACTTCGTCATGGAATAATTAAATTTTCATAATTGTTTTTATTATTCTTAAATTATCATTTGAGACCAATATTAGAATAAGTACTTTTCGTGATATTATTTTTAATTACATTCTCGTTATAAGACTTTTTTATATGCTACCTTCATTTTACATTACCCTACCGACTATTTTAGTTGACCCAAACATGAGGGGCAACGTAGAAAAAAGACAATGCCTGACAAACCCACGCACAACAAAAAATTTACTGACTTAATTTGTATTTCGGCATAATGATACTAAACGTTATTATAATAAGATATACTTTTTTGAAAATTTTATTTCGAAAATTGTAAAATTTATATAATTTCAAAGTTTAGAAATTCCACTTTATCCCACTTTACCCTGCCAATAGTTATAACTTTCCTGTATACACAATAGCAATATCGTTTTAAACCTTGAAATAAAATAATACTTAAAATTTGTGTTTGGAAAAGTAGTAATGTTAATACAATTTACATACCTTTATCCGTATTAGCAAAACTCCTTATAAGAGTACCGGTTATTTTTGTCAAATCATTAATTTTCTTTAATGTATCTTCCGACTTGCTTATGGCAGTTCTCTGTCCAGCAGACAGTTCATCCATTTGTGGAAGTTTACGTAGCTGATTTTGTACGTTTTTAATTTGGCTTAAAACTTCTTGCGTATTTGATTTCTGAACGCCCAAAGCTAAAAACAAAGTTGTGTTGTATGAAATACTAAAGAAATAGAAAATTGAAAGAAATCGAAATCTCACTCATTACAGCGACTATACGCGAATTATATAGGCACTATATGTGAAACCAAATCTTAACTGCCCGTTCTATATCTTTATTTACTCGCGTTTTGAATATTAGAAGCCAGTTCATGAAATGTTCTTGCTTGATGAATCCATTTGATGTGGAATGCAGTTTTAGATTCCCAATGTCGGCCCATTCATCGTCTGCTTGCTTTGTATATTGTAGAAGGCACAGATTTAGGTAGGAATATCAATTTTGATTTCGAATGAGTAGAAATCTTCAAATTTTTCCTTTTTGTTTTATTTTTAGATGTCACCGTATGTGTCTTTAGGAAGTTATTTTGTTATTACTTTCTTTACGAAAAAGATTTGATTTAACGTTTAGGGCTTTTTACTCAGTTGCTCTGATGAGTCCTACAAGGACGAAATATGTATAAGCGAATTGTAGAAGTACTATACGTAAAATCAAATATTACCTGTCTTTTCTATATCTTTTTTTTAATCTTATTTATCCGCATCAACCATGGGGTTATTAGCCGTAGGTTTATGATACAAATAGAGAAAATAAGGTACATTTTAAAAGTCATTAAAAGAATTACAACAATAGTACATGTAACAAAAATTAAATCATAATTTATTATAGAGTTTACAATAATTTAAAAAAGACAGAACTTCATTGAATTTTGTGACCAGTGCTTCTTTCAGGCTGTAGGGTATCTTGAATATCGCCTTGGCTAAGGTGTACTCTGGAGATTCTATTATTAAATGGTTGACTGTGAAAGGTGTTTGGCATCTTTGGCACATTGGTAGTGGTTCTTTAGAGATTATGTAGCCGTGCGTAATCGTGGATGCCTAATCCGGAGTCTGCTGATAATTACCTAGTCTTTTTGTTTTGGTGGTGTAGGTAGATTTTTTAAAGATACATCTGGTTGGATGCTTTTAAGATTTGTAATTGTTTGATTATACTGGTCAAACTTTTCAATGATGTTTATTCGACTGGTGATATCCCTGAAGACTGGTTAAAGTCCGAATTTATATCACTACCAAAAAAAAACAACGTTCGAAAAACTGTAGCGATTATAGAATGATAAGCCTTATGAGCCACACTTTGAAAATATTTCTACGCATCATCCACAGTAGAATCAGAGATAAATGTGAAGAAGATCAGGATGAAACACAATTTGGCTTCAGAAACGGACTGGGAACTCGGGACGCCCTCTTTGCACTAAATATATTACTGCAGAAATGTCGAGATCAAAGGAAAGACGTCTTTGCTGTATTTATTGACTATGAAAAGGCCTTTGATCGAGTACAGCATCACAAATTAATTACAATATTAAAAGATAAAGGAGTTGATAGTCAAGTCATACGATTGAACGGAAAATCAACAGAAATATGTAAAATGCAAAGAGGTGTCAGACAGGGTTGTATACTATCCCCACTGTTATTTAATTTATATTCAGATATATTATTTAAAGAAGCGCTGCATAATTTGGAATGGGGCGTGAAAGTTAATGGAATTCTGATTAATACAATCAGATATGCAGACGATACAGTTATTTTAAGTGATAATATGAATGGATTACAATGCCTTTTAAATGCCATTGATACAGTGGGAAGAGAGTTTGGCCTAAACATAAACTGTTCAAAAACAAAACACATGGTGTTTAGCCGTTTAGCACATCAAGATGCACGATTATATGTTGATGGTCATATAATTCAAAGAGTGTCCAGTTTTAAATATCTTGGTTGCCATATTACTGAACAACTAGATCCAGATTAAGAGATAAAATGTAGAATCGAGATAGCCCGCACGACATTTTTAAAAATGAGGTCATTCTTCTGTAATGATAACTTGAAACTTCAACTTCGAAAGCGTATGGTTAAATGCTACATTTGGTCAGTCCTCTTATACGGTGTCGAAGCATGGACATTAAAAATATCCACCCTTAATCGTCTGGAGGAATTTGAAATGTGGCTGCACAGACGTATACTAAAAATTCCATGGACGGCTATGCTGACAAATGTGGCAGTCCTTGAGAGAGCAAATGCTGCTCGCGAGCTGCTTGATAACATCAAATGTAGAAAGATGGCCTATTTTGGACACGTAGTAAGGGTAGACCGATATAATATTCTTCAACTTATTATGATGGGTAAAATCGAAGGACGCAGAGAAATTGGTAGAAAGCAGGCCTCTTGGTTGAAGAATATCAGAGAGTGGACAGGAATAAAGAAAGCTGAGCAACTCTTTAGAATAGCTCGAGACAGAGACAGTTTCGCCATGTTAATCGCCAACGTCAAGGGGACTTGATAGGGCACGTTAAGAAGAAGAAGATTGTTTGATCCCATATTTCTTGCCAGATTTTATTTACATGAGTCTTGAATAAAGTTTTAGTATCTGATATTGGTATACCTGTTGTAATCGGAATGTTCATATTATTTATTGCTTTAAACGCTGTTTTGTCTGCTAGCTCATCACTAGTTATTCCGACATGTGATGGGACCCACATTAATGATATGAGTTTTCCAAAAAATTGGAGCTGTTGCAACGCGTCTTTAATTAGGAATATATTGATGTGTGTAGGATAAACATGTTTAATGGCCTTTAAACAATGTAATCAATCTGATAATATTAGTATTTGTTTTTCATTTGTGGCTTTACAATGATTTAGTAGGTACGTCAAATATTGCTTGGAGCTCTGCGGTATAAATACTACAACCGTTAGTTAATCTAGTGGCAGAAATTACGTTTTCTGTAACGTTAGTAAATTTGCATGATACTGAAGCCTGACATCAGCAGAAATGTGTGAATGCTTATCATGAATAAGTAAGGAGAGGTCTACTATTAGTAAAGAAACTGTCCAGGTAGATGTCTGGTATATTTTTATGGATGTCAAGGTGATTTTATTGATATAATACGGTAGTTTTTTAAGTCGTTTGTAAAATGGTACTCTCTTAGTGGTATAATTTGTGTACAGTATTGGTGTTTCTTCCGAACTAGAAGGTTGGCTCGTGAAGCGCGCTTAATTACATTTTGCTCGAATTTAGGCAGGTTTGTTTTGGTTTGTTATTTCATAAACTCATAGATAAGGTAAGTACAAGTTTATAATTTTATAATGAATAACTCTTCCGACGGGGGTGCTCCCCCGTCTGGAAAAGACCCACCAGATGGAAACGGTAGGCAAAACGAAATGGAAATTGATAATAATAATAAGATATATAATTTAGACAACAAATATGTTTCGACTGACACTGGACCGTACTATATTGTAGAACCAGTCGATAAAAATTGTCGATTATCAGCGGTTAAAGTTGGTCATTATCTATTTAAACATTCTACTTTTAATAAAGATGTTATTGATATAAAATTGATTGGAAGAAATAAGGTAAAAATTATTTTTAAGACTTATAATATTGCAAATGCTATTATAGAACATAAATTAATAAAAGATAATAATTTGATCGCTTATATACCTATATTTTTTAACCATAAAAAGGCAATTATTAGAGAGGTTGACACTTTTTTGGCTGAAAAGTATATTTTGGAGAATATTGAAAGTGAGCAAAAAGTTGTAGAAGTAAAAAGAATGAAACGTAGGATTATTCATTCCGATAATGAGACACAGTTTGTCCCAAGACAGATGATAGTGTTTTTTTTTTGTGTGTGTTTTGGCTTGGACAATTGTCATTCAGCCAGTCTCAATCAATATTAGTTTATTAATGTAGTGTGTGTATGTGTGTTTGTGTGTGTGTAGAGTAATTGTCTTGATACTTAGCAAAGTCGACGTCATTGTCTTTGCTAAGAGACGCTAATTGTATCCGAACGTCTGCGGTCCCTCCGGTGTGTACCGATCACACAAGGATAGAAATTATTTTCATTTATTAATTTTTTTTTTTTAATAAACGAAAATTTCCACCCAGGTGGGATTCGAACTCACGACCTTTAGGTTTAAAGGCAGGCGCTCTTACCACTGAGCCACAGAGGGGGTTAGATGATAGTGTTAACATTTTTAGGAAATAATTTGCCAAAATTTGTTAAAATTGATTTGGTAAGATTTGCTGTTGAGCCATACATATATCCTGTCGTACAGTGTTATAAGTGCCTTCGATATGGTCATACAGCAAAATACTGCAAAAGCACTGTGACTAAATGTAAAAAATGTGGCGAAAACCACGATGAAAATGACGATATCAATTGCACTGCTAATGCTTATTGCATATACTGTGAAACGCATGACCATCAGTCTGTATCAAAAAATTGCCCAAAATACCAGGAACAATTCAAAATTAAAAAAATCATGTCTGAAAAAAATGTATCATTTAAGGAAGCTGAAGGTATTGTAAGAAATCCGTCTTATGCTAAAATAGTAACACATAATAATTTCGATGTTTTAAATAACCTAAATAATTTCCCTGAGCTGAACGGTAATATTGATACGAATATTTCCCCTTCCACGAGTAATAAAAATTGGGTACCACGTCCTCATTTCCAACAGCCGAAAAAGCGCAAAGTAAGTTCGCCACTGTCAGTCAATAAACCTCCTTCATTTAAACTTAAAAATAGCGTTTCAGATCCTGTTATTCCTAATCCACACAGGGAAGCCTTTCAGTCATACAAAGAAAAATTAGAATTACAGATACTGCAGAAACTTCCTTGTATTTTTGAAAATATGTTTAAAAAATTTAATTTAGTAAACCCAGATCCACTAGTTATTCAGGAAACACAAACAGAACTCAAAAAAATATTAGGTACAATACAATATAGTGATAGTGATAGTGATGAAAATTATTATTAAGTAGATGATAAATATATTGCAATGGAATTGTAATTCCATTACTAAAAATAAAGCTAATCTTGTTAATTTTCTTAACCATTACTGTATTAAATTTGATTTAATTATACTTAATGAAACTTGGTTATCTAAAAAGAAAATATTTCATTTACCAACTT